TGGAGGCAGGAGTGGAGGGGGCTGAAGTGGATGAGAGCCAACCAGTTCCAGAAGTGGAGATTCATCTAGTTCCCTCCGACGATGAGCAGCCTCCTCTGCCGGACGAGCAGCAGCCAAGACAGCCACCTCTTCCAGCTGAACAGGAGCCAATGGAGCCACCTCCTCCAGCAGAGAACTAATTTTGTTTGTGTTTTTTTTATTTTTTGTAAAGACATTTAAACAGCTTGTAATATTTATTTTAGTTGAAATGAAAATTTATTTATGAAATCATGTGTTTGTTTTGTATTTGCTTTACAAAGGCAACCATTTCAGAAATGAACTAAGGGGAAGTAAGTCACTTTAGACGAAGTAAGAAGGAGTAAATAACTTCCATGTAGATTAGGAATGAGTACATCACTGTGAACGAACTTAAAAGGAAATAAAGTACTTCACATGTGAAGTGACTTTTATTAATCAGAAGTGAGATTTAAGTACTGATTGACCTCGGATACATGGAATAAGAGATAAAATGAATTTCAATAATCACTAAATAAGAACTGTAAGACAGATTTCTTGAAAGAATTTTATTAGGGGTAAAATTTCTTCAAGTTATTGACATTCTAGACTCTAGGAACTTTCTTTCCTTCAGCGTCTTGGAGGACATAGGCACCAGGATATGGCACCTCGGCCACGGTATAAGGGCTTTCCCAATTCGGGGCGAGTTTGCCAAAACGAGTTTCAAACCCTGTTAGGCCAGCTTTTCTGAGAACAAGATCTCCTATTTTGAATGTGCGAGGGCGGACCCGTTTATTATAGAAGTTGGCTAGTTTCTGCTTGTATACAAGAGTTCGAAGCTGAGCTTCTTTTCTGACTTCAGCAAGTAGATCAAGGTTTTCTCGAAGCAGTTGTCCATTTCGTCCTTCATCGAAATGGGTGACCCAGAAGCTTGGGACTCCTATTTCAACAGGAATAACTGCTTCGGTACCAAAGGCCAGGTGGTAGGGTGTTTCACCTATTTCAGTTAATTATAACTTTAGAATGCGCTTTATGCATTATGCATATTTGCTCTAAGGTAAAGCGTATTAGAAAAAGTAAAATACTATAGAAATTAATCAAATAAACTCGGTTTAAAGTAGTACCTGTAGCAGTTCGGCTCGTGGTTCTGTATGCCCAGAGGACGTTGTTGAGCTCGTCTGCCCA